TGTAAATCCCTGCCTGGGGAGAAAGGACTTTTTTTTTTCTTGTCCCTTGAAGGGAATTTCTGCTCTCCCTGTTGGCTTGCTGGTGGGACTGTGGCTGGGGAGCTCTCCCAGGGAGCATTTGCCGAGTCCCCCATCCCCAAGGAGCACAGAACCCCAAATCCAGGCCACATCTCCAGCACAGGCTGTATTTTCACATTAGGAATTGACGCTACGGTTTATCACAAGTCAACCACACTGCACATCTCCTCACCTGCATTGAAGGATAGTCAAGCAAGGAGGTGAAACGCCCTGGCCTCAAAGCACAGCTTGATCTGGCACCACAGAGATGCTGAAACCCAGCCAGACCCTCCAAACACAGGTTCCGCCGTGGGCTGGGCTGATGAGTCACAGGCTTTGCCTTGTAGCTCTCCCAGAGCAGAGGGGCTCGCTCAGCAGGCGACGCGGCTGCCATGCACTGCCGTGCTCCTGGGCATCCTCCCCGCCCAGCTGTAGGGTGCTTGGAGAGCGTCTGCCATGACCTCTGCACAAGCCTGGATTGCGCTGGGAAGGGGACCTCAGACAGCAGCGGGTTTGGGGCCGTTGCATCACCCCGAGAGATATCCTGTAGGGACACGTGGGATGTAAGTAGAGGTGGGGGCGAGTGCCAGAACTGCCTAACACTTCTTTCTGCTTGTCTGTGTATTTGTGTGTTGCAGCAATATCATCCCACTGACATCACCGGCCAGCTCAACCTCTCCGACCCCTCAGTCAGCACTGTGGTGTGACCTTCTCCCCGAGGGCCATCAGTCCTTGCCCAACACAGTAGGAAGGCACAGCCAGGACTGCCTTTCAAGGGACACTGATGGGTTCTTCTGGGTGAGATGGGAGGAAAGCATCCTTCATCCATACACAGTGACTTCATTGTATATCTCCCTCCCTTCCTAGGCCTGCTGCCATGCTCGTGCCCCAGAATGCACAGCAGAACCAGGACACGGTTTGGACTTCACTGTACAGAGTTGCTTCCAGGCAGCACTGTTGATAATCGGCATCGCCACTGACTGGCTACGGGCGAGGGGAAAGGGTTTCGAAAGGCACACAGTGCTGCTCTCCCATGGTAGCAGGGAAGAGCTGGTGCCAGACTACAGACAAGTGCTTCACTTTGCAGGCTTCAGGCTTCTCAGCACGTGCGCGGTCCCTCAGACACGTGCTCCACGGTTCCCACCACCCCGGAGGGCTGTATGACGTGCTCATGGTCCCGCGTGGCTGGAGGAGCCGG